TGTATGACTTCAATCCTTGCTGTCAGCTACTATAATGAAGGCACAGACAGTTAAATTGTATTGTTTCAGCGGGATTTATAGTTAACTTTAAACTGACATTATGATCCCCATTCATTCACATTGCCTGGTGTCTTGAGTGTATCTTTAATCTGTTCTGCATCTTCAGTGTTCAGTGATATAGAGCTGTCTTGTGCAGGGTTGTCATTTTCTCACTTTGCAAAACCAAAATGTTTTTTAAAAGGAAATTAAATTAAATTGATAGTTTTTGTAATTAGGTCTCAGACATTGTCTGCTCTATGGTGCCATACAACTGGATCAGACCGCCTGCCTTGAGGAAATAACTTCCGACTCAATTGAATTAGGAAGTATCAGGTGAAACAGATATGTCCAGTACTGTTAAGTTAGTGTGTAGTGTGCTTCTGACAAGAATAACATTTCCTCTTTGGGTTACTGCCATTTAAAATTTTAAAGTTCAGACTTGTGTGCGATGTCAGAAGATAAAAATATATAAATATACAATTAGTCCTTTAATGTATCCACACTCTTTTACGCTAGAGATGTTGTCTGGCTACAGGTATTGAATTAACTGAAAGGAAAGGACCATATACATCCTTTAATGGAAAATTTATATCAAAGTGAAGGGCAAAACACAACTCAAAACCAGATAAACAACTGTGAACACGAGAGGAGTTTGTGATTTTGGTCTGTGTGCGCACTTCTGTCAACTTTATACTTGAAACACCCTGATTTCAGGTCAAACTGAGTACAAAAATAAAAGCTTAGAAATAATATTTGCAGACCAGGGGGCTGTGCAACACTGTTAGGCAGAATGGAAGAAAGTATTTCTCTGTTCCCATACTGAGAACTGTACCAACCACACCACCGTCTCATGGAACATAACTCATATATTTCATATGAGTTTTCATTTATATTTAAAATGTATTGTTTTTGGCCATTGATTGCTCTAACATGCCCTGTGCAACCAGTGACAAATAAGTGATTCATTGAGTTTCCCAGAATGTGACAAAAAAAGTTTCTGTTTCTGTGTAAACCACTGCATTTGATTCAGTCATTTGGTAAATGGTATTGGAAGCATCAAGCATATATTGCATCATGGGTCAGTGCTTTTGATTTCATTGCCCTAGTAAAAGACACAAGTGCACACAGTGGATTTCCACATTCCGGCGTCTTTATTCCCCATTACAGTGAAATACATTGAGGCTGTGCATTATGCGACGTGTATAGGTCAACCATGTTAGGTAACTACTTGGTGTGTTGGGGGACATATCTGCCCAGGGCACTGAGACATAAAGTACAGTGAAGGTGTGTAGTTTTTGTAATCCACAAGTATATATAAAATAAATAAATAAAGTAAATTTATAATGCACATCAAAAAGTGCCCCACAATAAAAGACAAAAACAACAGACATAACCCTGTTGTGTAGGTTCTGTGATTTGTAGGGTTGATCATTGTGTGCAGTAAACAAAAATCTGTAAAGGCTTTATTTGTAGTATGTAGACATTCATTAAAATGAATATATCTGATGTTTGCTGTATACAGTGGGCATGAGTGTCCTTCTGACACACATACCAGCTACTGTACATCTACACATCCAGCTCTCCTTCAGATGTGCAATACGAAAGACAGTGGCACATGGCACAGATACACCTGGCCCGGAGAATGAACTTTGGTGATTTTGTGGCTACAGGTACAAAGCACAGCTTTGAAACAGTTGGGTATTTGTAGGAATCAGTAGTTGAGTGCGGCTGCACCCTGTACCGATATAATCTGAACTTTACTCCCATTTGCCTATATCATAACGTTCAAGTATGTTTCAGTCTGTAGAGATGTGAATGTAGAGCCAATTTAAATGTCAATGAAAATTACATTAATCTTCAATACCATGTAGAGAGAAAACTGATGCTGCGCCTCGCTCTGTGCCGTTCTCAAGGCTTTTTAAGAGGTCATAAAATGGACAGCACTTGGTGTTGAAATTGGGTCTAATCAACAGTTTAATAGCTGATGATAAATAAAACCATTTCATTTTTATCAAACAATACTGTGTCTCTTTATTTTAAACACGCATTTAATTCCACATTATTCCTTAACCAAAAAAGATTTCCTTCTCACAAGCACAAATGACAATGAGATTACATTGTTTTCACACAGTATTATTTTCTAAGCAGTATTGTTCCGCGAGAAAGCGGCTGGCCCGTAAGATAAACATATACTTCTCTGTCTATTCTTTCTTAAAAGCTCTCATTTCACTGTTCTTTTGCAAAGATTTAGGAAAATATGATGTTTTTAAGTAGTGCAGCAAAAGTCCTATTTATGTAGTAAAAGAGATAATATCCAACCCTCTACATCTGTCCTAACTTTTGTTTAAGTCTAGGTAAATTACTCAGGCGTTAGGTCTCAGTGGGTCTTCTGCACAGGCAATGACTTGTACTGAAGCTACTACAAGAACAATTCACACATCTACCAAACTGTTAAGTTAAATTAAATTTAAATGTATTCATTCATTTCGGATTAAATTTAGTGTTAGAGCTTGATGCCTATTCCCTTGTAGAGATTCCTGACATTGCATGTGACATTAACATGCTGTATTCCTCAGTCTGTGCTCTTTTACTTATTTTCTGCTTCAGAAAAAATATACTAATTCAAATGTCCTAGCATATTTTTCACAAAAAGCGTTGGTACGTCTGTTTATGTACACATTACTTTGGTAAAGCCATACATACGAGGTAAAGAATGACTGTGCATTTCACCATTTTAACCCGGTCTGCACAAATCCCTGCTATTTTTGACACCAAACTTGCACTGCACTATTTGATCGCTATACTGACACACTCTGTACTGCACATCCCCACCCACATCAGGGGGATTAAGTTTTTTTTTTTTTTTTAAACTGCTTCTTCACTGGTGCAAAGCCCAGCCATGAGCCATGCACCGCCACAAAAATAGAGCCCTTTTTGTTATGTCTCCGTCCCTGTGCTCTCTTGGCATATTAGCGGTTCTGTTTTTCAGACACATCCGGTGCTTGTTTATGGATCAGTTTTTCAAACATTTTTCTTTCCTTTGCCGTTGTTTGTGGAGCCACTAATATCTTTGCCAAGACTCTTGGACTGCATTGTCGCCACCAAAACAGTGTGAGAAGAGACAGGAAAGCTCATTATCGACAGTGCCTTCAGTTTCAAGTTTTTATTTTTGGACAAAGTAGCTAGCAGATAAAAAAGCCACCAGGGTTGCAGAATAAGGAAGTGGCATTATATAAGTATTCAGCTCAGTTGCAGGGGAGCATTTCCACTCTTGAAGCATGGATTGTCTTGATACTGACTCCTCCTTTTATGAGATAGTGCTGAGTCAGTGTCGGGTCTCTGTGGCTTTCTGAACAGTATGTTGAGCTCAGTTTTGCTTGATTGTGCACTGTGTTTGATCCCCATGCCTTGCAAACGCATTGACGTATCTTCCACCCCAAACCACCCTGAAAAAGTTGTATATAAATAGATTTCACACTGAGCACAACTGGGTTGGAAATTAATTCTACACGTACACAGTGCTGCCTGCTGAGAGTGGTCTCAGATGATCGTTCTATCTATCTATCTATCTATCTATCTATCTGTCTATCTGTCTGTCTGTACCAAGAACTAATAAATGTTGTATATGATGAATACATATGCCTAATATCAATGATCACTGATCACAATCATCTGCAGTTTATTGGCTGTCATTACCAAAACTTGGATTTTAATCTATCAGGTGATCAAGTGCCACCTAGCCTAAATATGGCTGTAACTAACAATTATTTGTCAATGCTGAAAAAACTTTTCATTGTTCTATCATGCCTGTGATAATTTCCCACAAAGTCATGACTTCATATAGCTTGTTTCATATGAACACTCTAAAAGTCAAAGATAATGACTTTAACTTTACTTGTATTTATCCTCCCAATCCCAGAAGCTGGGAACAGGCAATGTTTACCGTTTTGAACTGAAAAAATGCATTCATTATTAAGATAATTGTAAATAATTTACTGTCCGTCAACTAATCAATCAATCAACTATTCATTGCAGCTATAATGTTAAATAATATGAGCATACCCATGCTGTTCTCTTGTTCTGGATCAAATTGTGTCAAAGCCACAGGACTGCTATGTTATTAGTTTTGCACTAGCTTTGCACTAGCACATACATTACATGTCCTTTCAGTCTGTAACAAGCTAATTTACATATTTCAAATATAAAATAATTAGGAATAATTTTCTTAAATTAATTTAGATAGATAGATTTTACCTGATTATTCTCAGAGAATCATACTTCTTTGTCCTTATACCTATTGCTCCTTTTCACTTATCATACTTTCAGTTCTTACTAACAACACTTTTACAAAGGATCTATCATCTGTCACCGCTAACTATGATAACCTAAAGTATGGTAATGTTTCTTTGTTGATTGAAGTGGACATGTTTGTGTGGATTTGTGCTCCCTCCTGCAGCTGCACTTCACCCTTGCTAATAAGTCAGCCATGGTGCTTTGCTGCTACTGCCTTTGGCTCCGTTAGCTAACTGTAAAGCACTGACATGTGCATTGAGCCATCGGATTTGTCTGTCTTCCAGAAAGTACCTCTAACTGCACTGGTGTTGAGTTGAGCAAATGATGAGTGGATGACTGGGAATACACCATTATTTCATTTCTTGCCACCATATCAATATGAATGGATCGATTCAATGCTAATCCGCTGCTTTTTTGGAAGGCAAGGAAGGTAATCAGGAGTTCACTCCAATACTTAATTGCATTGCATCTTCTACTCAGGCTTAGACCTGAAAACTATTTACTTCAAGTGAGGGCTTTTCACATCCTTACCATACACAGAAAGCCTAGAGCTATACATATGAATTTGATGTGTGTGTGTGTGTGTGTGTGTGTGTGTGTATGTGTGCTGTGTTTGTATTCTTTGTAGACACAGCGTAAGTACTTTGCCTGCATCTTTCTATTTCCAGCCAGGAAGTATGACAGTGGCGAATATCTTAACATCACCGGCATCACAAGGGACCAGGCCGGAGACTACGAATGCAGCGCTTTAAATGACATCGCCTCTCCTGACACCAAAACAGTAAAAGTCACAGTCAACTGTAAGTCTATCTCTTTCTTCTTCCTTGTTTTTTTTTTTCACACTGGCCTTGCAGATACATGAAAGACACCGGGCAGTCTTCAATGATACTAGAGTCATGTCCCTGACCATGCACCTCAAGAAAGTACACTTCAAAAAGTTTGAAAAAGTAGAAAGCTAGAGCTTGACGTTTTTTAATATTTAATGTGAGAATTCCCTTTTTGTCTGTGCATGTAGGTGATTAATTCACACTAAGGAAAGGTCTGACTGTTCTAAGCACTATTCCATTATGCAGGTAATGAGTCTTTCAAAGGTGTGGGGAGACAGTAATGAGGAGCCGGGGCATTAATGAATGATACTGGGCTTTAGCTGGTTGTGGTCACATGGAAATCACTACTCGTAAGTATGAGCAAGAATGGGAGCTTGACAATTATTGCCATTCCCTCTCTTTTTTAAAGTGCTCCTTTACTTACACTGTTATTCATGGAGGTTTCTGCAAAAATGCCCTGTGCTAAATCTCACTTTTGGCAAAGCTTATCAGGCAGTCAGCCATAGAGATGGAGGGGGGAGAAAAAAGGCTCCTCCTAGCCCAGTTACTGAGTCATATCCTGAAAGCTAATCATGCTAAGTTTTCAAATTCAAGTTTTAAGAAATTTCAGACACATTTTTAAAAAAGCTATTTTACCGCAACTTTGAGTCCAAAAACACTTGTACTTTATTTCCACCTCTCTGCCTTAACGCAGCTTCCATTCTAGCTTTGGTATTAGACAAAGTCTTGTGGCCATTATTTCTATGTAATGCCTGGCTCTAATGAGCTGGGCCTGAGTTGGATTTCAGAGACCAATAATTTGTAGCTCTACTGAGACATGGGTTCAAGAATGAAAAGTGCTTTGACATCTGTTAGTATCTATTTGTTACAGAACATAAGAAATATTCCCAATGATTGATAAGGCGTGTCATAGTCAGACACCAAGTTTTATAAGGAAGACAGCTTGGGCTCAGTATACAAATAGAGTGAATTGATTTGGAAGACTTTCCTTTGCTGTCAGACAAAGTCACCACAGCTTGAGCACCAGAGCACCGGAGCGATGCTTTGGGTGGGAGTATGCTATAGTTGGTCAAGTGCAATATTTGTCCGCTGCCCAGAGTTATCTTAAGATGACAGAGCTACAGAGCTATTCCTGTCATTGACCACTTACTTATTCTTTATTATTGACATGTACCACAGAGGAGAATTGCCAGATATCTTTTGTAGACTAATTTTAATAATTTTGAATGTTTTGTTATAAATTGTGTAAACTGTTTATGATTTCTCTTTACAGTTTTTCTCAGTTGCTTTAGGACATTTCTCCGATCAGAATTGAAATTCTCAAAACTACTAAAACATTGATTAAACGATTATGTACAATTGTATGCTGTTTCCTACATTATCAATTGCTGTGTCATGCTGATCACAATGTATTATATTGGTTCTCTGTTGAATAGTCTTACCCCCCAAAACATCTAGGCACAAGTTCATTGCATAAGTCACTACATGCAAAAAGACTGAACACGTTGTCAAAATCAAAGTTAAATAAAGTCAAACTTTATTCATATTCTTCACATTCAGGTACACAGCTGAAGAAAATGTTGTTTTGTACAGACCATGGTGCATAAACAAAATAAGAATAGACAACAACAAATCACAACACTACAGTAGCAACACAGCGCTCACCCCACCCTATACACAAAATACCATACAGTAACAGTACAGTAACATACAGTAACATACAGACAATGAGCAGTGTAGTAGTATAGTGCATATATATATATATATATATACGCAGACAGAGAGGAGAGAGAGAGATAGATTGTCTGTCAATGATATTTTCTATACATGTCTATTAGACATTTTCTTTGTAAATATCTCCTTACTGTAATTGATGAAGATATCCGTAGTGATGTGGATACGAGTCTGTGACCTGACAGACAGGAACATCAGCCTAAGGAGTGTTTCACATGCTTACATTTCTAATTTTGTAATTTCTTCCGTTGTACTATGCACTGCTGTACAAGAGTCCTTTCTTTTTCTTTTCTGCATCACAATGACATGGTCTGTCAACAAATTACAGTACAAACAGTAAAAAACTTAACTGTGAATCCTGTCGAAGCTCTCGCAATGTATAACTTTATACTGTTGAAATTGATTGATTGAAAAAGTGTAGCTTTGTACATTTTCAATCATTGTCATCAAAACCTTAGCCAAAGAGTACATCAGAAAACACTTAGAGAGTACACTGTTATATTGATAACATGACTAAACATTTTGACTGTCTTGTTTGTAAACAATGACACAAGGACTTGTCATTCTGATGGCATTGACATGTTCAATGACATAAAGATTTGATTTTGAGAGATAGACTAAGGATTTTGAGCAAATTTCCAGCTTTTGCAGGTAATCCACTGTGTTGTGCTGTTTGTTCGAAATGTTTCCAGAAATGCACTTATTATTGTTTTTCATAATCCTTTATGTATAGCAGAGATTCAGTTGCTTTACTTCAGAAATAGAAAAATGGCTAATATAAGGAAGGTAACTGTATCAGCTATAATCTTTCACACATTACTTTTGCCTTCTGGACTCAAAAATTGAGGTTCTCTATTGCACCCTAATTACAACACACCTTTCTTGGAAATGCTATGGATTTATAATATATAAAATATAGTTAATTTGTTGGACTCCAGTGTACATGAAATCTCGCCTGTAACTATTTGTGACACTTATGCCATGTCTTTCTGACAAGTCTTTATTCAAAATCTGCTCACAATAATTAGTTTAGCTGAGCTGATGGGGCAGCCTGTGTCTCCACAACGTGTAAATCTCAGAGCTTCCTCCCACATAAATATTTCATAATTTCTGACACCCTGTTTGAGCTATGGCCAACATGTAGCTCAGTAGAGTCAGACTATTCTGGCCTCACAAGCACCTTAAACATGAAAGGTCCTGTGTTTTATTGCACCTGTTTAGTATTCGAAGTGCTGCGCAAATATGAGACCTGCATAAACAAATCATGTTGCAGACATTAAAGCAACATTATGTAGTAATTTTATCTTAAAATAACAACTTCAAAATCATTTTCGTGCATTGACTTGTAATAGGGAGAATTGTGTCTCTGTCGTTGCCACTCCAGGCCTGGAGCAACTGTTGTTGCACCATGTAGCGTGGAATCCCAGGAAGGAAATTTATCATGACAATGGCGTAATGCTTTATGGCACCACGTCACACAGCAGCTCGTATCTTCAGCAAGCAAGCTAGAAGTTGGAGCAAAAAGTATAAAATGTCCAATGTAAGTTCTCTGGAAGAAGCTAGCTCGGTATTCTCAATATGTTTATCGTGGTGTGTTATGATGTTTAGTTGTGTTAGCAAAGTTGTCTTGAGCAAAGTCACTTGGAGGTCTCACAGACAGGGGTTTAGCCGCTAGCTATAAATCTTCATTTGATGTTAGCAAACTTACTAGATAACACACTCGGACATTGGTAATGTAGATTGCTCTTGCGTCAGTAGCTTTGTTGTCTAGCTTGCCGCCCAAGTTTCAAGCAACATTATCCTGCTGGTGGAGAGTGGCGCTGGTGTTGTGCCGGAGCCGGGCAAGTGGACAACATAACCGGGCTCAGCAGCCTATTTGAATGTAACATTAGCTAACAGCAGAGGTGAAATGACCGAAGAGGATGTTGACAGAGGAAGTTAAGAAGAGAAAAAGAGAGTGATCAAGCACGAGGCTCCCAGACGTTAGCGAGAGCGACACAGAGCTGGCATTATTTCTGTGTACACAGATGGACTTGAAAGTAATATTGCTGTGTCTTGTATTGTTGCATTTGCTTGATGTTTGGCTGTGTTAGCAAACTTGTTCACTTGCTAGTTTTTGAGCGTAAGTAATGTAATCATAACAAATGCACGTGTACAGCTGTCCTTACTTTCGACAGCAGTGAATTACACTCTGAAACGCTAGCAGCACAAAATCACAATAACCATTACAAAATGTTGCTTTAAAGCAGCACAAATCCACATTGGTGGTTTGGAAACTTTCAAATGGCATAGAGAGGTAGCTGTTTAAAACTGATTCAGCACCTTGTGTCATGTAGCTTTAAATACTCAAAACATTTTGTATTTTTTATGAAAGTTGCCTCGTCCCTCTTCTCCCTACATGGAGATATGTGTCAGATGTGCTCATTTACAAAGATAAGGGGACAGAATAAATGAATTAAAGTTGTCCTTTGGAGAGGCTGATGTGGCCACAGCAGGCAGAGCCTGAGCCAGCTGGTGGCCACTCTTCACTGCCTCCTCTCCGCCCTGGTGCAGTTCTCCCTCTGTGAGGGAAAAAGAGAAGCATTTGGACCATATCCCAATCTACTTTATCATTCATGCTCTACTGTCACACATCAAGCTATATTCAGGGGGCGCCCAGGAGCGTAGGGTATTGATAAGGGCCCAGCGTGCCAATTTCTGGATTAAGATAAAGACGTTAACTGACACTGAAACTCAAACAAGAGAAGATAATTACATAGCAAGAAGCAAGAAATGAACTTTATTAAAAATATTACACTGCATGGGCACATGTTCAAACAGCTGTTTTGCTCGGCTGACAAAACCAGCCACTCAACTTGGTAAAGGTTCCCCTGGGAGATTCTGCAGGTGTTAGTCAACGACGTGAAATAAGCCATTTTAAAGGTTTTTAGGTAAATAACCTTTTTTTTTATTTACCACGCAGTATGATAACAAAAAAAATAAGACTTCTAAATTATCTTTTTTTATACAAATACTCGTGTTTCATTTGATGTTGTTGTTCAATTATGTGAGAGGCTATCGTGACCCTATCACAGTAACAGCACTGATCCTCTCAGAGTATCCTTAATTAAATTAAGTCATAAATATCAATCAGTAATGGCCGCACTATTTCTCTTGTATTGTTCAGTAAGACTGCACAGGAGTGAGTGACACTGACATTTCATGGGTTAACAGTCTAATTAAATAAATGTCCCAACAAT